TTTTGTAAGTTTATTATTATTATTCCCCTATTTTTTGATGTTATATTTACTAGACATGACTTTGAATTATTATTTACCGTTATATTTAGCAAATTGTTTTCTTCCTATTAGTGTTTTGTCAACATTGTCTAAAATGACACTTTAAAGCTTTGTCTCTTCCTTGTACATTCAATCACTATCTTAGTTCAATGGGAATCACAGAAACATTTCACAGGTGATTTCTTGATTGTTTGGATTTTCAGTTCAATTCAATTGCTTTCCCATTCATGGGAACATTTTTCATTTCATTGGTATTGTAAAAATCTATTGTCAAAGACCAAAGTCATGATTTAGCTTGATTTTATACTCTAAAGCTTAGTGATATATTGGTCTTTAACTAATAAGTTTTGATTTATGCCGTGATCACATTCTCAAAACCACCTCCTTTATTTTTCCTCTTTTTTGTGTATATTTGAGTTGAGATTCATTTGAGTTGAATTTATATTAAAGTTGGTGATTTAATTCTAACTCGAGATGAAGAAGATGAAATCTTTACAATGAGGAAAAATCTGCCAATATGCTTCCCTATAAAAGAACTTGGAACACTTCAAAATTCTTGATTTAAAAAATCGTGGTTGAATTTTCGGTATAAAACGGTATGGGTTACATACCGTACCGAATTTTCGGTATACCGAAAGTTTTGGTATGGTAACGGTATGACATTTACCAATACCGGATTTTCGGTACGGTATACGGTATGGCGTTGAAATTTCGGTATACCATACCGAACCAGAAATGTGATAACTTAATTGGGGGACAGAGGGATTATGTGATAGGGAGTTGATGATGCATTATCATAGTCTACAAGTGACTACAAGTTCTACATGTCTAAGGAAACACACATTTGAAGGCTACTCTTCCATAAGGGGAGGTTCTCGGTTCTAAAGTACATGAAAGCAATTTCAACTCTATTTATCGCATACCCCCCTAACCTTATCTCACGAGAGATTCACGAGGCTTACATTTTTGTCTTGAAGTTTTACAAATATACAAATAATGCAACGTAACACAACTCTTCATTTTTCACCTTTATTTTACGTTGAATATTAGTTCTAATTTATAGTTGCATGATGAGGATTAAAATTTAAATCATACTCCCTCCGTTTCTAAAAATTCTTCCTGGTTTGACTTGACACGCTTATTAAGAAAGTGGAATAAAGTGGAAATGTATGGTTGTGGTTGTGTAAGAAAAAGGTAAAATGAATGTGAGTCACACAAATTATTCAAAATGAGAAAGTGGGAAGTATTTTTGGGAACAACCCAAAAAGGAAAGTGGGAAGTATTTTTGGGAACGGAGGGAGTATTATTTAAGTTGTAAAACTACATAAATGTGATACAAAAAGTAGTCATATACACTATAATAGTGGAAGTTATCAGTCAATTTATACTAAATATGACATAAGTTAGTTAAAAGGAACGGATAACATAATTTATATGAACACACACATTCGGCTATTTTTAGACTAATGAATGCATACTTAGATTATAAAATTGTTGTTCTTGACAACAGATTTAAAGAAATCTGAAAAATATAAAAATATCAAATGTATTATGTTTAAACGGTTAAGTTTTTTTTTGTGTTCTTAAAATCTAGAAATGGTCATGTTACTCATTTCAAACAGTACATTTTATCGATTCGGAATAAAAAAATTTATAGAATCGTTTAAATAACCAGTTTTAAGCTCGATATTATTACCGGTTGCATTGCATAGTGCATGTAAGTGTGCATAAGAGATTGAATATAGTCTAGGCATGTGATGGGATATTAAGGTCCAGACCATACATACCGGCCCAGAATATCCCTAGGGCCCAGACGCAAGGAGAAGCCCAGAGGGAGTCATAAGCCCCGAACGGAAGTTCAACACATCCCTAAGGCCCAGAACACAAAGGGTATTCCAGAAGAAGTCATTGGGGTCGAACGGCAGTCAAGTAACTAAAAAAAAGGCCCGTTCGGCACCTTCCGAACGGGGTGTAATTGGCACTTGGGTAATCGGTTTACTCCCGAGTCAGATGCTTAGTGGATTACAATCCCGAACGGGGATTCGGACAAGTGGCAGGCTACATGTAATGCTGAGATATGGGGATCGCAAGTGGGAACATGGGTGCACAATTGGCATGGAAAGCAACCAATCATCTTGAAGCAGTCCATACCCCTCACCTACCCCCTTTCTAGTATAAATAGCAGCATTTAATTCATTGTGAGGAGTTAGATTTCGCTGACTCACAAGTTTATATTGCATTCTAGCTCTTGTATTAGTCTTTGGACCGTAACTACCGTTCGACCATTTCCGTGCAATCATCATTAATGCGTTAATACAAGCAATACTATTTGCGTGAAACTATCAATTTTTATATTTCTTTTATACACGTTACTATAGAAATCCAACCCTAAATCCAAGGTTAGTGTTGGGTCATCGGGTCATTCGGGACTTAACCTCAATAGCATGCATAACGTAAAAAATGAATATGGATTACGTGAAGTGTAAACAAGGAACAACGGAAGCATTTCTAGAAAATGGAATAAAGAAAAAATGAAAAATTGAAATAAGTATTGGAAAATAGAGTAATTACCATGCGTAAGGAAATTAAATATGCACAAGAAAAATTGGAAATAGTTTATAAATGGTATGACCGTATGAGTATGTGCAAGTGTAAATGGAGTTGATCTCTAGAAGGAGGAAGCTAGTTTGATTTATTAAAATCAGTAGGACAAAAGAATGACCCGATGAATTAAAAGGTATTTATTCTTGATGTCTAAATATAAAGATAAAACAGGGATTTGATCGACAATAAAGAGTTATTTAACGAATTAATTGATGTCTTTAAAAATAATTTAACGAGTTATCGGTCGATTCTAAACAGCAATCTAACCAAATATCATTTTATAAATAGCTAATCTATCAGCTAATCAAAACAACCAACAGAATCCAATTACCGGCTAATGGCCAATTGCCAAACACCCCTCATATAATGAGAAAAATAAGAATGAAGTGTCCGATGAACTTTTTTACGGAGTATTTAATACAGAGTAAGAATGAACTGTCGGATGTATATAGGAGACTGTCTTCCTCAATCCTCATCACCGTCTATACGTTGGACAATTAATTCCAACCCGCACGAGCCACGGGTAGCTCAGTTGGTCGAGTGGTGGGAGATTTGGAACAATGGATCAAGGTTCGAATCCCCGCAGCGATCGGGTGGAGGTCACAGAACCTGAAATAAGGCTGGGCCTCTGGTGCGCACGGGTGTATGGGCCTACTGCCATTCTGATGACTGAGTCACCGTGACTAACCTCCCCACCATCCTGTCGGGTCGGGGTAGGGGCTCCTGGGGTGGGAGATTCCATCTTTTGGAACAATGGACAATTAATTCCATTTACATGCCGTACACCATACTCGTACCATTTATAAACTACTGCCCAAGTTTTTCCTATAAATATTTTGAGCCCGTTTGGTAATATCAAAATCGGTTGAATCAGCTGATTCTTTTGAAATTCCTGAAATTCTGTCTAAAGTAGCTGAACTGCCTAATCCTGCTGATTTTTGAAAAAATTATATTTAAAATATACATTATTAATAAAATGAAGAAAAGATTATATGTAAAAATAGCTAAAATGGTCTCCTAAATTAACTTCAGCTGATATAACTTCAGTCTTGTTTTTTCTTATTATTGCACAATTCCATATTGACCACTGGGAAAATAAAAATACAGATGCTATATGGTCTGGCAGGTCTGCGCTATGAATACTCCAGTCATTGTTTTAAAAGGCTTTGTTTTCAGGCTTACTCCACACCCGTTTTTTTTTTGCGCAAGGTTTGGAGCAGAAGACCAACATGACGAGCAAAGAGATAAGGGAGGCGGGTAGAACCGTAGAATAGGATTTTGGATAAAAATCAAAACGCCAACACCCTAAATGCTAGGTTTATTAGCTTTCTTAGTTTTGCCTGTTTGGGATAAAAGTAAGTGAAAAAACCAATTAACCAAACACTTCTATTAACTACTCCCTCCGTCCCGCTAACAATGGGACAAGAGGGAGTGACACGCAAATTAATAAAAAATGGTTTATGTGGTTGATATTGAATTGATAAAGTAAGAATAAAGTAAGGATGACTTAGAGTTACGCAAACTTTATCAAATTTGGTGTGGGACAATCTCAGTGGAACGGACCGATAAAGTAAAATGTGACAATCATAGTGGGACGGAGGTAATATTTATTTGGTCAAAAGCCAAATAATAATCAAATCAACCAAAAAATGACTGATAGGCTCTTAACCAAACACCGCATGATGTTTTCAATACTTTGCATGTTTGAATCGGCCCTAGTGAATTCTAGTTTGTTCGGTTGATTTTATAATTAGCCTCAATCCATTAACCGTGTCATCTATGATTTGGTCTTTTTATTCAATTTGGATTGGTTCGCATTCTATTGATTTATCGGTTTAATTTACCGATATTTTTCACCCTTACATACGATATGTATATATGTGTTGTAACGGGGGTGTAGGTGTAGGCGTGTAGCTCATCTGGTAGGAAGAGATTGTCACAAAAGAAAGATCACGTGTTCAACTCCAAGCATTAGACTTGGGATGTTTTCTTTTGAACTATTTTCAGTCCCGGATCAGACCACACTTTCATAGTTATAAAATACACAGAGAAGAGATTTACTTGGGCAGACCAGATCAGACCAACAAATTTATATCCAAAAGAAAACTACCTTAACATGAAACTCTATTCCCTTTCAATCAATTATCATATGATCAAAGTTCAACATACACTTTTTTAGATAATTGTTCTGTCGATTCTGGAGGGCATCATGTATGACGTGTCATCCTTTTTGTATGTGTTGTATAATGAACTAAAACCCAATATCAATGTTACACAACGTATGTTTTTTGAAAGAAATGTTACATAATGTTAAAAATTGGCAAATGAAACAAAAAGTGAGGTTTCTGATTTTTAGAGCTTTATTATGAAATTCAAAACAGGAAAAGAAACAGAACTCAGAAAGTAAAAAAGAAACTTAATGTAAAAGAGAATGGTAATACAACACTACCATAAAATGGTGATCTAAGCTAGGTTAGGTATTAGCGGATTACTTGTTCTGAACTACCGTAATTAATTAATTAATAAGACATACGGATTAATAAACAAGCATTTAATTAACTAAACAATAAGTCAAGAACAATCTGCAATTCTTTTTTTGTAGCTTTCTGGCTATGCCTCTAACCAAAGAACAAAGACCAATGTTGCAGTAGTGGCAGCAACAGTTTTAGAAGAAGAACAGAAGGCATGGTGATGAAATACCGCCTTTGCCCTCTCCTCATCCCCAAACCCATCATCAAAGTTGAGTGCATAACTCCAAGGGTCGTATTGGAATTTCACGTGCCGCCGCCGGCCGCCTCCTCCGCACCAGTTCTTGACTGCCTTCTTCACGGCGGCTCTCATTCTCCGCAGAAAGCAGCATTGCTTCTTCTTCGTCCTTTCCGTACCTATAAAGCTCAGTAAACATCCACCCATGGTATATTCAATATATTCTTAGTAGTGTGAGAATAAAAAATATTTTTGTGTTGTGATTGCTGTGGAGGACTCTGTGAGCTCTGTTATATACAATGCGATTTAGAAGAAAGAGGAGGGCAGTTTTAGGAAAGAAAAGAGGAAAAGAAAAAACATGTACTCCACTTTATCTATGGTGTTTAGGCATGTTCCCCTTTTATGGGTTATTCTTATTTTAATCGAACTTTATTAGAAAGAAAACAAATTTGAAATTAGGCTCCACATGAAAAATTCATTGATAAATGTTAAGAAGTATGTTTTAAACAAGAAAATGTATTGGGAGACTTTAAAAATTGAAATGAATTGTGACAAAAAATAAGAATAAATTGCACTTTTAATTGAGTTTTTTTCCGAATTAATGTTAATTAATTAATTAATTACGAAAATAATGCTGGAAAAAAAATATTTACCGATCTGCTGCTGGGTTTAACCATGGTCAGGGAAAGTCGCCTAACGGTTGGGGGACTTATAAGTCGCCAAACGGTTTGGCGACTTATAAGTCGCCTAACCGTTGGACGACTTATAAGTCGCCCAACCGTTGGGCGACATTCCCTTTAGAATTTTATAATATAATAATATAATAATCTAATAAGAATATTTAAATAATATGAGTTTTTTTCGAATTGGTTTTTGAATATTTAAATAATAGGAGTTATTTAAATAATAGGAGTTTTTTTCCGACTTAAATAATATAATAATCTAATAATAATATTTAAATAATCTATTGTAACCAGTTAGTTGAAGTTTTTGCTTTTATTTTGGAAATTCCGTCTTATTTAAGCTCGAGAGAACAATAATTGTGACCAACAACTACTGTCATCTAATATTCATACTCGAACACATCAAGACAACATACAATGGGACGCCCAATGTGGATATACTCTCATGACCAAATCTGGAGGAGTAGCAAAAATCCTCCAAGCTCTGTGCTCCCTCTATGGCAGCCGCGACACAGCTGTCTGTAGAGATAGGCTAGCGTGGCACTACCCCAGCTGAACTGTGCTGCTACATCAAACCTCTCTATCAATGGCAAGTGCAGCACCTGAACCTCATTTCCGCTCTTGTCAGCAAAAATGGAGGCTCCCATCATCATCAAGATATATGCCCGCGCATGCTGCTCAATCATCACCTCATCAGCGTCCGGATGAAGCACCTGGAAGTGCTCCCTCAACCATGGCATCCTCAGGGATGACCCCTGAAGGTCAGTCCGAAGAACGGGGCGAACACCTAACAAGCGCTCACACTCATCTACCCACTGTCGACAAGCAATGCCTGTAACAGCTCTCTCATGAACCTGTAGCCCAGTAAGTACAACAACATCTCCCAAGGTCACTGTCACCTCACCAACAGGGAGGTGAAATGTGTGTGTCTCGTGTCTCCAACGCTCAAGAAGAGCAGTGAGTAGCGCTCTATCGAGAGGGACAGTAGCCACCAATCTGTGCAGACCATAAAAACCCGCAGCACGAACATATGCAAGTACTCTGTCGTCCACGTGCATATGCGACAAACCGCGCAGGTGCTCGCGGCACCTATCCACCTGAACATCGAGGCCAAGCCACACATCCTCACTCCTGTGCGAGGCCTGCAATGTCAGGACAGAACGATCACTCGGCCCAGGATCCGCTGTCACATCCATGCCTACTAACAATTAAAATCGTATTAGTTAAGAGGTAAGTCACCCAACCGTTGGGCGACTTACTCCTATCACGGTTAAACCCAGCAGTAGATCCGTAAATACTTTTAACCCAACGCTTGAGTTTATAGATCCGTAAATACTTACGTAGATCCGTAATTAATTAATTAACATTAATTCGAAAAAAACTCCTTTTAATTATACCAATGTTATATCAATGTCACATTGAGTCTATATATTTGACTCTGTCCAATTTTTATAAAAATTTATTGTACCTTGATCACTTGTCGTGCTTCCAGTTGAATCTCCAATGCTTAAAATTAATCTTATAGGATATTCAAAATTTGATTTCTTTATACAAATACACTTTTCTATTAAGCAATTTTTACTTAGCATCGCTTTCTCTAATTTTTTCTTTTTTTTCTTCTTTATCCTTTTTAGATTCAATCATTGTAATTACACCTTGAAATTAAATTAAATTTAAAAAATTATTATAATTGATATTTTTCGTCTCACAGAATCAAAAAATTATATCACTAACACTCAATAGATAACAATCAACAATTAATAAATCAAACAATCAACTATGAATGAAAACAATTAATAAACTAATTAAATAATCATATCAGACTAATCTACTTCCAAGTTTATTTTTTTTAAGTTTATGAGCATATATTTCATCAAGTTTAGTTTATGTGCACAAAATTTCAGTTTAAAATTCAATCATTAAGTTATAGAAATAAATTATTGAAAAATACTCGCCAAAAAATGCATAAAAACAGTCTTTTTCAATAATTTATTTGACTGACTTATAGATTAAATTTTGTTAGGATCGTATCCGTCTCCGGCTCAGGTCTCCAACCACTCTAGACTAAACTCACAGACACCCTCTAGGGCTAGGCCACAACATCTCCCATGTTTACTCACTCTTCTTCACTCCACAAAGGAACTCTCACACAAGGAAAGGAAGAAGGAAGACACTGCTCTCTGGGATTATTTTCGCAGGCTTATCTCAAAGGGGCAAACAAAAGGACTACAAATAGGCTGCCAAGGAAAGTCACGGGTGAGGCTAATCAACAGGGTGTCACAGGCTGCCAGACAGGAGGTGCAGCGGACAACAACAAAAAAAGGGGGGGCTCACATATTGTATGTCAACAGGCACCAATGAGTGATTTCAACTAAGGGAATCAAAGTGGGAGTAAACATGGGGTGCAAGCCTTAATAATAAAGTGGAAGGGAGGCCTTGGTAGGACCAATACCTCCAACAAATTTTAAAATGATTTTTTTGACATTATCTACGCTTCATAAAGAACATGTTCATAAACTTTAATCCAAAAAATCTACCTGGAAGCACCTCGAAAAATTTCCCTAGGAAAATTATTAGTTTATGACTGAAAACTCATCATACTCACATTTATTATAAAGAACTAAACTTGGACCTAGTGTTAGGGCTGCCCCCCTGCCTCCCTAGGCCCGCCCCCGAGTCTTCAAGACTTTAACACATGCATCCTCCTGTTAGAACACTAATTCTAACAATAATATGAATGAATGACCTATTTAGGGTTATGTGTCACTATGGGAGATGGAACGTAATGAGAATCAACGTGTGTCACAAAGTGATTTATTGAGATCTCAATGAAAATTAGAGTGTGTTCTTCTGAACGATAAAGAGGTGTTTGAAATTGATTTTGTTTCTACTTCATTTTTTAAAATTAGAAGCATAATCAAAATCAGTTTTTCAAAAATCGATCTACCCAACCTCTAAAAAGGCTACTCTTAGGACAAATTCGGAGTACTCAGAAGTACTTCTACAATTTCATTCAAACACTCTAATACGGAGTATATGTTTCTGTTCATCGAAAAAGCAGAAACGCTTCGAGAAGTAGATCTAAACACCCTAAAATGTACATTTCGCAATTTACTTGGAAACAATTTTGATGGATTGTAAGTGTGTTCTCAAATTGAATCGGCCCTAGTGAATTCTGGTTTGTTCGGTTGATTTTATAATTAGCCTCAATCCATTAACCGTGTCATCTATGATTTGGTCTTTTTATTCAATTTGGATTGGTTCGCATTCTATTGATTTATCGGTTTAATTTACCGATATTTTTCACCCTTACACACGATATGTATATATGTGTTGTAACGGGGTGTAACTCATCTGGTAGAAAGAGATTTGTCACAAAGGAAAGATCACGTGTTCAACTCCAAGCATTAGACTTGGGATGTTTTCTTTTGAACTGTTTTCAGTCCCAGATCAGACCACATTTTCATAGTTATAAAATACACAGAGAAGAGATTTACTTGGACAGATCAGATCAGACCAACAAATTTATATCCAAAAGAAAACAACCTTAACATGAAACTCTATTCCCTTTCAATCAATTATCATATGATCAAAGTTCAACATACACTTTTTAGATAATTGTTTTGTGGATTCCGGAGGACATCATGTATGACGTGTCATCCTTTTTGTATGTGTTGTATAATGAACTAAAACCCAATATCAATGTTACACAACGTATGTTTTTTGAAAGAAATGTTACATAATGTTAAAAATTGGCAAATGAAACAAAAAGTGAGGTTTCTGATTTTTAGAGCTTTATTATGAAATTCAAAACAGGAAAAGAAACAGAACTCAGAAAGTAAAAAAGAAACTTAATGTAAAAGAGAATGGTAATACAATACTACCATAAAATGGTGATCTAAGCTAGGTTAGGTATTAGCGGATTACTTGTTCTGAACTACCGTAATTAATTAATTAATAAGACATACGGATTAATAAACAAGCATTTAATTAACTAAACAATAAGTCAAGAACAATCTGCAATTCTTTTTTTGTAGCTTTCTGGCTATGCCTCTAACCAAAGAACAAAGACCAATGTTGCAGTAGTGGCAGCAACAGTTTTAGTAGAAGAACAGAAGGCATGGTGATGAAATACCGCCTTTGCCCTCTCCTCATCCCCAAACCCATCATCAAAGTTGAGTGCATAACTCCAAGGGTCGTATTGGAATTTCACGTGCCGCCGCCGGCCGCCTCCTCCGCACCAGTTCTTGACTGCCTTCTTCACGGCGGCTCTCATTCTCCGCAGAAAGCAGCATTGCTTCTTCTTCGTCCTTTCCTTACCTATAAAGCTCAGTAAACATCCACTCATGGTATATTCAATATATTCTTAGTAGTGTGAGAATAAAAAATATTTTTGTGTTGTGATTGTTGTGGAGGACTCTGTGAGCTCTGTTATATACAATGCGATTTAGAAGAAAGAGGAGGGCAGTTTTAGGAAAGAAAAGAGGAAAAGAAAAAACATGTACTTTATCTATGGTGTTTAGGCATGTTCCCTTTTTGACTTAGTTCCCCTTTTCTGAGTTATTCTTATTTTAATCCAACTTTATTAGAAAGAAAACAAATTTGAAATTAGGCTCCACATCAAAAATTCATTGATAAATGTTACGAAGTATGTTTTAAACAAGAAAATGTATTGGGAGACTTTAAAAATTAAAATGAAATGTG